ATTATATAAAATTATATAAAGAAGAATATAAAAATAAACTTGGAGGCCAAAACCTAATAACATTTATTTTCTTAACAAACTTATTTTCAATTATATAAAATTATATAAAGAAGAATATAAAAATAAACTTGGAGGCCAAAACCTAATAACATTTATTTTCTTAACAAACTTATTTTCAATTATATAAAATTATATAAAGAAGAATATAAAAATAAACTTGGAGGCTAAAACCTAATAACATTTATTTTCTTAACAAACTTATTTTCAATTATATAAAATTATATAAAGAAGAATATAAAAATAAACTTGGAGGCCAAAACCTAATAACATTTATTTTCTTAACAAACTTATTTTCAATTATATAAAATTATATAAAGAAGAATATAAAAATAAACTTGGAGGCCAAAACCTAATAACATTTATTTTCTTAACAAACTTATTTTCAATTATATAAAATTATATAAAGAAGAATATAAAAATAAACTTGGAGGCTAAAACCTAATAACATTTATTTTCTTAACAAACTTATTTTAAATTATATAAAATTATATAAAGAAGAATATAAAAATAAACTTGGAGGCTAAAACCTAATAACATTTATTTTCTTAACAAACTTATTTTCAATTATATAAAATTATATAAAGAAGAATATAAAAATAAACTTGGAGGCTAAAACCTAATAACATTTATTTTCTTAACAAACTTATTTTCAATTATATAAAATTATATAAAGAAGAATATAAAAATAAACTTGGAGGCCAAAACCTAATAACATTTATTTTCTTAACAAACTTATTTTCAATTATATAAAATTATATAAAGAAGAATATAAAAATAAACTTGGAGGCCAAAACCTAATAACATTTATTTTCTTAACAAACTTATTTTCAATTATATAAAATTATATAAAGAAGAATATAAAAATAAACTTGGAGGCTAAAACCTAATAACATTTATTTTCTTAACAAACTTATTTTAAATTATATAAAATTATATAAAGAAGAATATAAAAATAAACTTGGAGGCTAAAACCTAATAACATTTATTTTCTTAACAAACTTATTTTCAATTATATAAAATTATATAAAGAAGAATATAAAAATAAACTTGGAGGCTAAAACCTAATAACATTTATTTTCTTAACAAACTTATTTTCAATTATATAAAATTATATAAAGAAGAATATAAAAATAAACTTGGAGGCTAAAACCTAATAACATTTATTTTCTTAACAAACTTATTTTCAATTATATAAAATTATATAAAGAAGAATATAAAAATAAACTTGGAGGCCAAAACCTAATAACATTTATTTTCTTAACAAACTTATTTTCAATTATATAAAATTATATAAAGAAGAATATAAAAATAAACTTGGAGGCTAAAACCTAATAACATTTATTTTCTTAACAAACTTATTTTCAATTATATAAAATTATATAAAGAAGAATATAAAAATAAACTTGGAGGCTAAAACCTAATAACATTTATTTTCTTAACAAACTTATTTTCAATTATATAAAATTATATAAAGAAGAATATAAAAATAAACTTGGAGGCTAAAACCTAATAACATTTATTTTCTTAACAAACTTATTTTCAATTATATAAAATTATATAAAGAAGAATATAAAAATAAACTTGGAGGCCAAAACCTAATAACATTTATTTTCTTAACAAACTTATTTTCAATTATATAAAATTATATAAAGAAGAATATAAAAATAAACTTGGAGGCTAAAACCTAATAACATTTATTTTCTTAACAAACTTATTTTCAATTATATAAAATTATATAAAGAAGAATATAAAAATAAACTTGGAGGCTAAAACCTAATAACATTTATTTTCTTAACAAACTTATTTTCAATTATATAAAATTATATAAAGAAGAATATAAAAATAAACTTGGAGGCCAAAACCTAATAACATTTATTTTCTTAACAAACTTATTTTCAATTATATAAAATTATATAAAGAAGAATATAAAAATAAACTTGGAGGCCAAAACCTAATAACATTTATTTTCTTAACAAACTTATTTTCAATTATATAAAATTATATAAAGAAGAATATAAAAATAAACTTGGAGGCCAAAACCTAATAACATTTATTTTCTTAACAAACTTATTTTCAATTATATAAAATTATATAAAGAAGAATATAAAAATAAACTTGGAGGCCAAAACCTAATAACATTTATTTTCTTAACAAACTTATTTTCAATTATATAAAATTATATAAAGAAGAATATAAAAATAAACTTGGAGGCTAAAACCTAATAACATTTATTTTCTTAACAAACTTATTTTCAATTATATAAAATTATATAAAGAAGAATATAAAAATAAACTTGGAGGCTAAAACCTAATAACATTTATTTTCTTAACAAACTTATTTTCAATTATATAAAATTATATAAAGAAGAATATAAAAATAAACTTGGAGGCTAAAACCTAATAACATTTATTTTCTTAACAAACTTATTTTCAATTATATCAAATTATATAAAGAAGAATATAAAAATAAACTTGGAGGCCAAAACCTAATAACATTTATTTTCTTAACAAACTTATTTTCAATTATATAAAATTATATAAAGAAGAATATAAAAATAAACTTGGAGGCCAAAACCTATTAACATTTATTTTCTTAACAAACTTATTTTCAATTATATAAAATTATATAAAGAAGAATATAAAAATAAACTTGGAGGCCAAAACCTAATAACATTTATTTTCTTAACAAACTTATTTTCAATTATATAAAATTATATAAAGAAGAATATAAAAATAAACTTGGAGGCTAAAACCTAATAACATTTATTTTCTTAACAAACTTATTTTCAATTATATAAAATTATATAAAGAAGAATATAAAAATAAACTTGGAGGCCAAAACCTAATAACATTTATTTTCTTAACAAACTTATTTTCAATTATATAAAATTATATAAAGAAGAATATAAAAATAAACTTGGAGGCTAAAACCTAATAACATTTATTTTCTTAACAAACTTATTTTCAATTATATAAAATTATATAAAGAAGAATATAAAAATAAACTTGGAGGCTAAAACCTAATAACATTTATTTTCTTAACAAACTTATTTTCAATTATATAAAATTATATAAAGAAGAATATAAAAATAAACTTGGAGGCTAAAACCTAATAACATTTATTTTCTTAACAAACTTATTTTCAATTATATAAAATTATATAAAGAAGAATATAAAAATAAACTTGGAGGCCAAAACCTAATAACATTTATTTTCTTAACAAACTTATTTTCAATTATATAAAATTATATAAAGAAGAATATAAAAATAAACTTGGAGGCCAAAACCTAATAACATTTATTTTCTTAACAAACTTATTTTCAATTATATAAAGAAGAATATAAAAATAAACTTGGAGGCTAAAACCTAATAACATTTATTTTCTTAACAAACTTATTTTCAATTATATAAAATTATATAAAGAAGAATATAAAAATAAACTTGGAGGCTAAAACCTAATAACATTTATTTTCTTAACAAACTTATTTTCAATTATATAAAATTATATAAAAAAGAATATAAAAATAAACTTGGAGGCTAAAACCTAATAACATTTATTTTCTTAACAAACTTATTTTCAATTATATAAAATTATATAAAGAAGAATATAAAAATAAACTTGGAGGCTAAAACCTAATAACATTTATTTTCTTAACAAACTTATTTTCAATTATATCAAATTATATAAAGAAGAATATAAAAATAAACTTGGAGGCCAAAACCTAATAACATTTATTTTCTTAACAAACTTATTTTCAATTATATAAAATTATATAAAGAAGAATATAAAAATAAACTTGGAGGCCAAAACCTAATAACATTTATTTTCTTAACAAACTTATTTTCAATTATATAAAATTATATAAAGAAGAATATAAAAATAAACTTGGAGGCCAAAACCTAATAACATTTATTTTCTTAACAAACTTATTTTCAATTATATAAAATTATATAAAGAAGAATATAAAAATAAACTTGGAGGCTAAAACCTAATAACATTTATTTTCTTAACAAACTTATTTTCAATTATATAAAATTATATAAAGAAGAATATAAAAATAAACTTGGAGGCCAAAACCTAATAACATTTATTTTCTTAACAAACTTATTTTCAATTATATAAAATTATATAAAGAAGAATATAAAAATAAACTTGGAGGCCAAAACCTAATAACATTTATTTTCTTAACAAACTTATTTTCAATTATATAAAATTATATAAAGAAGAATATAAAAATAAACTTGGAGGCTAAAACCTAATAACATTTATTTTCTTAACAAACTTATTTTCAATTATATAAAATTATATAAAGAAGAATATAAAAATAAACTTGGAGGCCAAAACCTAATAACATTTATTTTCTTAACAAACTTATTTTCAATTATATAAAATTATATAAAGATATATATATAAAATTATATAATTTGCGATTCAAAAACTCCATGTGTTGACTTAAAATATTAAAAAATTAAATAAATGATTTTTGAAAAAAATGTTAAATTTGTTTTAATTAATTAAATATCTGCTTTTGAGAACTTAGAGGACGAATTTGTTGTTATATATTGTGTGTGTATTATAACTTTGGATAAGGCCTCTACTCGCATAAAACTGGTAACTAGTGCTAAGTATTTGCTATTTGTTGGCTCCAGCTCTGGCTCCGGGGTTTTCAAAATCTTAGCTCCGGCTCTGGCTCCAGCTCCGCCGGAGCCGGCTCCGGAGTTATTTCCCGGAGCCATACCCAGCACTGCTGGTAACTCAAGATATAAATCACTATAGTAAAAATGGATATGAAATGGAAATGAAAAATGGATATGAAGTCGGATATTACCATATTATTTAATACTAAAAGCCCTAAAGATTTCATAATTTTAGTTTATTTAAAAGTAAATTAAAAATGCCAATTTTGTTGCTAATTGAATAAAAATTAATTTTTAATTGGGTCATAAGATAAAATAAAAATAATTTAAAGTGCTTAGATTAATTTTGAAAAAAAATAATCTTACAGGATATGTAATCATTGCACATGCTAATTCATTAGAAAAACGTTCACACTTAAATATATTTATTAATATTAATTTTAACTTAATTTTTTTACTTTATCAGAGAGATCTCTAAAATTAATATTTCCATGTTTATCTGATTCAACTGGAACAACTTTAAAATTAGCCATATGTGCAGTAGCTGGGTTAGTCCCATGGGCAGATACAGGAATTAAACAAATCTTTAAATTTTTTTATTCAAAGGACTTTTTCCAAAACAAATTTACATTTCTTTGGCTCTCCCCTTTAGAATGGAAATAACCACGAATTGCCAACATACCCGCATATTCACCATTAGCCCCACTAAAAAATTTGAAATTTATTTGATAAAAGAACAGTTCCTTTTAAAAAATTTTAAAAATCAAAATACTGAATTTTTAACCTCAAAAAATTGACTAGTTCGGAGACTAGTAAAAATGTCTCATTAGTGACTCACTCGGAGATTCTTCCACCGGCAAATTCTCATTCGACTCGGCTCGACGAGAAATCCGAATATAACGAAAAAATGTAAGGGGACGGGGGAGGTGGAGAGCTCATGCTAAAATAACTTCTAAAGAAAGATTTCCTTAAAACAAAAGTTTAATCCATTTCAGAAGTCTAAAGTTTAACTTATTCATAAATAATGAATATTTTCAGTTAAATTCACTAAATTTAGAAAATAGAAAATTGTCTACACAAAGATCTTCGCCGGAAGTTCCGTAAGCCGGAAGTTTCGAGATTTTTTGGTTCTTCCGGCCGAATCTGCGGTTCCGACGAAGTACTACTACACACCATAAAATTATTTTTATAAATAATTATTCACCTATTTGGCTGTAAAGAGAATTTATCATAACCAGTAAGTTCACACAACCAACGTTCCAAATCATTAAAAATCTACAAAATAACAATTACACTAATTAATTCCAAATTACTTTAGAATATCCTTTTGATTGTTCTGTAGGTACAAAAGGGTGAATATTAGCAAATTTTGGCCAGCTTATCTTTGAATAATTTCTTTAAATTTAAATAAAATTTTAAAAAAATTTACTGGAATTAATTCACAACTTGCATTTAATTTCATTGTACAAGAACCGAGGGGAATCTTTAATTTCAAAAATTAATTTAAAAATAAAATTATTTTAACCATTGAGTGTACAAGTGAGAGATCTTTATTTTCAAGTCTTTTCATATATCTTTAAATAAATTAGGTATTTAAAATTATTAAGAAAAATATTTTTAATTTTAAAATTTGATAAAATTATTAAAAATTATTCACCTAATAATCTGAGTTTCACTATGATAACTATTAAATACATGTCCAGTTAAAAAAGGTGAATGTCTAGAATGTAGAGAATTACCAATTAAGGGTGTTGAAGTTTCCATTACTTTATTTTTAATTTCTTTCTAAAAAGAATTTAATTAATTTAATTATATGTAAGTAGAACTCATAAACACTGACCAGGGTCGGGGTTTCAAGGAACGGTAGACCGTAAAGTGTATATTTTGATAAAATCTGTTTTGGGGTGGAGCGAGGTTTCTGGACTGGGTCTTGTCTGAAAAACGTCCCATCTGATATCTTCTTCCATTTCAAGGTTTATTTACTCAAATAAATTTTATTTAGCGCATTATTTCTTCCAACTCAACGATTTTTATTTAGACTTATACAATTCTATTATTGCTCATTAGTTTTATATAATTTCTGATATCTTCTTCCATTTCAAGGTTTATATAATCAAATAAATTTTATTATAACGCATTATTTCTTCCAACTAACGATTTTTATTTAGACTTATACAATTCTATTATTGCTCATTAGTTTTATATAATTTCTGATATCTTCTTCCATTTCAATGTTTATTTAATCAAATAAATTTTATTATAGCGCATTATTTCTTCCAACTCAACGATTTTTATTTAGACTTATACAATTCTATTATTGCTCATTATTTTTATATAATTTCTGATACCTTCTTCCATTTCAAGGTTTATTTACTCAAATAAATTTTATTATAACGCATTATTTCTTCCAACTCAACGATTTTTATTTAGACTTATACAATTCTATTATTGCTCATTAATTTTATATAATTTCTGATATCTTCTTCCATTTCAAGGTTTATTTACTCAAATAAATTTTATTTAGCGCATTATTTCTTCCAACTCAACGATTTTTATTTAGACTTATACAATTCTATTATTGCTCATTAGTTTTATATAATTTCTGATATCTTCTTCCATTTCAAGGTTTATTTAATCAAATAAATTTTATTATAGCGCATTATTTCTTCCAACTCAACGATTTTTATTTAGACTTATACAATTCTATTATTGCTCATTAGTTTTATATAATTTCTGATATCTTCTTCCATTTCAAGGTTTATTTAATCAAATAAATTTTATTATAACGCATTATTTCTTCCAACTCAACGATTTTTATTTAGACTTATACAATTCTATTATTGCTCATTAGTTTTATATAATTTCTGATATCTTCTTCCATTTCAAGGTTTATATAATCAAATAAATTTTATTATAGCGCATTATTTCTTCCAACTCAACGATTTTTATTTAGACTTATACAATTCTATTATTGCTCATTAGTTTTATATAATTTCTGATATCTTCTTCCATTTCAATGTTTATTTAATCAAATAAATTTTATTATAGCGCATTATTTCTTCCAACTCAACGATTTTTATTTAGACTTATACAATTCTATTATTGCTCATTATTTTTATATAATTTCTGATACCTTCTTCCATTTCAAGGTTTATTTACTCAAATAAATTTTATTATAACGCATTATTTCTTCCAACTCAACGATTTTTATTTAGACTTATACAATTCTATTATTGCTCATTAGTTTTATATAATTTCTGATATCTTCTTCCATTTCAAGGTTTATATAATCAAATAAATTTTATTATAGCGCATTATTTCTTCCAACTCAACGATTTTTATTTAGACTTATACAATTCTATTATTGCTCATTAGTTTTATATAATTTCTGATATCTTCTTCCATTTCAATGTTTATTTAATCAAATAAATTTTATTATAGCGCATTATTTCTTCCAACTCAACGATTTTTATTTAGACTTATACAATTCTATTATTGCTCATTAGTTTTATATAATTTCTGATATCTTCTTCCATTTCAATGTTTATTTAATCAAATAAATTTTATTATAGCGCATTATTTCTTCCAACTCAACGATTTTTATTTAGACTTATACAATTCTATTATTGCTCATTATTTTTATATAATTTCTGATACCTTCTTCCATTTCAAGGTTTATTTACTCAAATAAATTTTATTATAACGCATTATTTCTTCCAACTCAACGATTTTTATTTAGACTTATACAATTCTATTATTGCTCATTAGTTTTATATAATTTCTGATATCTTCTTCCATTTCAAGGTTTATATAATCAAATAAATTTTATTATAGCGCATTATTTCTTCCAACTCAACGATTTTTATTTAGACTTATACAATTCTATTATTGCTCATTAGTTTTATATAATTTCTGATATCTTCTTCCATTTCAATGTTTATTTAATCAAATAAATTTTATTATAGCGCATTATTTCTTCCAACTCAACGATTTTTATTTAGACTTATACAATTCTATTATTGCTCATTATTTTTATATAATTTCTGATACCTTCTTCCATTTCAAGGTTTATTTACTCAAATAAATTTTATTATAACGCATTATTTCTTCCAACTCAACGATTTTTATTTAGACTTATACAATTCTATTATTGCTCATTAATTTTATATAATTTCTGATATCTTCTTCCATTTCAAGGTTTATTTACTCAAATAAATTTTATTTAGCGCATTATTTCTTCCAACTCAACGATTTTTATTTAGACTTATACAATTCTATTATTGCTCATTAGTTTTATATAATTTCTGATATCTTCTTCCATTTCAAGGTTTATATAATCAAATAAATTTTATTATAGCGCATTATTTCTTCCAACTCAACGATTTTTATTTAGACTTATACAATTCTATTATTGCTCATTAGTTTTATATAATTTCTGATATCTTCTTCCATTTCAATGTTTATTTAATCAAATAAATTTTATTATAGCGCATTATTTCTTCCAACTCAACGATTTTTATTTAGACTTATACAATTCTATTATTGCTCATTATTTTTATATAATTTCTGATACCTTCTTCCATTTCAAGGTTTATTTACTCAAATAAATTTTATTATAACGCATTATTTCTTCCAACTCAACGATTTTTATTTAGACTTATACAATTCTATTATTGCTCATTAGTTTTATATAATTTCTGATATCTTCTTCCATTTCAAGGTTTATATAATCAAATAAGGTTTATTATAACGCATTATTTCTTCCAACTCAACGATTTTTATTTAGACTTATACAATTCTATTATTGCTCATTAGTTTTATATAATTTCTGATATCTTCTTCCATTTCAATGTTTATTTAATCAAATAAATTTTATTATAGCGCATTATTTCTTCCAACTCAACGATTTTTATTTAGACTTATACAATTCTATTATTGCTCATTAGTTTTATATAATTTCTGATATCTTCTTCCATTTCAATGTTTATTTAATCAAATAAATTTTATTATAGCGCATTATTTCTTCCAACTCAACGATTTTTATTTAGACTTATACAATTCTATTATTGCTCATTAGTTTTATATAATTTCTGATATCTTCTTCCATTTCAATGTTTATTTAATCAAATAAATTTTATTATAGCGCATTATTTCTTCCAACTCAACGATTTTTATTTAGACTTATACAATTCTATTATTGCTCATTAGTTTTATATAATTTCTGATATCTTCTTCCATTTCAAGGTTTATATAATCAAATAAATTTTATTATAACGCATTATTTCTTCCAACTCAACGATTTTTATTTAGACTTATACAATTCTATTATTGCTCATTAGTTTTATATAATTTCTGATATCTTCTTCCATTTCAATGTTTATTTAATCAAATAAATTTTATTATAGCGCATTATTTCTTCCAACTCAACGATTTTTATTTAGACTTATACAATTCTATTATTGCTCATTATTTTTATATAATTTCTGATACCTTCTTCCATTTCAAGGTTTATTTACTCAAATAAATTTTATTATAACGCATTATTTCTTCCAACTCAACGATTTTTATTTAGACTTATACAATTCTATTATTGCTCATTAGTTTTATATAATTTCTGATATCTTCTTCCATTTCAAGGTTTATATAATCAAATAAGGTTTATTATAACGCATTATTTCTT